TCATGAGATTAAATTCCTGATGTTTCTCATGCCATTTGCATCTTTGTGGTGAGAACAAAGCAAAGATCACTCTGCCCAGTAAGTCTTACAGAGTTTTGTGTGGTAATAGGTGAGTGTGTATATCTTTGCTTTGTTTGAAATGCCATCTCATTTATTTCTGGATGTCTTCTTTTTTTATTATATGCTACCTATTCCAACATGAAAAGAATTAATTTCCCTCTTCAGCTCTTCCCCTATTCCCATCACTGTGGTGAAAGGACAACTGGTTGTTCAATCATCTTGCTAATGCCACCAGGCAGATCACACTCTGCTCTGTTTTGGTGGGTCAGAAGGAATTTATTATTTTCAAAAGTGGTCAACACATGGGCTAGCAGAAGGTCACTCCAGACATTATTCCAATGCATAAAAACATGAGTGCTAGAGATCCCACCAGTCCACACAGACCTGTGCAGCAGTAGCTTTTGACAGTGAACAGAACACAAACCAAGCAAGACCATACGTGAGAGAGATGCCTCCATTTTTTTGACCTCCTGGAAACTCAGTCAGGGCTTATTCCTGAGACCATTTAACCACTTTAGACTTGGGTGGGCTCCCTGATACACATCTGTGACATCTGGAATAGTTGCTGATATTAGGAAAAAGAAGCAACAAACGTGCAAATGTGCACCCAAGGTCCTGGGGAAAGAAAGGCTGGCAGCAGTGGATACAGTGATGAGGTGAGGGAGAGGCAAGATCTGTTTTGGGGTGTAATCATACAAACCCTCCAGTGCAGCTCCAGTGCACCCACAGCTTTGGTGGCAGTGAGGGGTGCACAGCTCTGCTGGGAGTGCCTGTCTTGTGTAAAATACTGATGGGATATATGGAGAGCAGAGAACTGGTCACCATGATGACCTGAGAGGCAAAATCAAGGAGAAAAAAAAAAATAAACTTGGTAAAGCAGCTCAATTAAAGTGGAGAGCACTGCCACTACAGTCACATGGTACCATTCTGTGAAGCCCTTCGAGAATCAGGGCGCCCTGAGGGCTGGGGAATTGCCCAATATCCCTTGTGGGACAGACACAGGCAGAATTCAGCTCCTCACATGATGGCAGACAGCTTTGGGTTTTTTCTCCTCCAGGTGGATCCCCTTTGTCCCTATCCTCAAGAGTCTGAAAGACAGGGACTGAGCAAAGAAGTTAAAATTGGAGCCAGGTGCTCCTGAAAGAAGGGCTGGAGAGAAGAGGCCCCAGGGCCAGTCAATAACAAAAAATTGCAGAGAAATATTCAGAGACTGTATAAAAACCTCCTGGAAGCTGAGTCAGTTCAAATTACAAATCCTTGTTCCCCATTATAAACAAGAATATCAATATTTCTGCTGCAAATGCAAATTCCTGAATCCAAAGCAGAAGGAAAACAAATTCTTTGCAATGTGCCAAAACACATTTCTCTTACATCATAAATGTATGACTTTCTTCAGTGGAGTGTCAGATGGAAGCAAAACCTGGCCTAAGCCTGGCCCATGTAAAGAGCCAAGTCTTATTAAAATGCATACATAATTGGGTACAATTAAACAATATTGATATTAATGAATATATATGTGGTAGCTGGGATTTTAGACAGACTCTCTCTCCATCTGAGGAGCTTGTCCTAAATTCACTGTGCATATACCTTGAGTGGTTGTGGGAGCCTGGGAGAAAGGCACATTGCCTTCCTGCCAAACAGCACTGGGACTGTGCCTCATGCCTTACATGCTAAAACATGAAGGCAGTGGGATCACAAATACCCTGCTACAACCATTACCAACCCTCATTAAAAGCTGAACTGTGAAAATGGAACAGTTTAGTGCCAGAGCATGAGTACGGCTCAGAGACGTTAGCATCGAGGAATGAAAAAGGAGGAGGAAATGCCCTTCATCAGAAGGCTGATAAGCGTATTTTTAGGAAAAGCTGGTCAAGGCTGAGATACACATAAAAGTTACATGAACACAGAACTAGCCAAGCTTCCATGTGGATAAGAGGGGATAAATGCACTTTATTAAGTTGTTTCTAAAATTGGAGTAGATGAGATAAGCCTTGAAGGAGGCACTCATCTAAGATTGATGTGGAGTAAGTGCAGAGAGATAGCTGTTGAAAGGACTGCCATAAGCCAGTTCTCCAAGTTGTCACTCACTGACACTACCCAGTGTTTTCTAATAAAAATAATCTGTTAAAATCAGACTCTGGAGACAGCTTGTCTTTGGCTGCCAGTGTAATTTCTCACAATTGTTTCACATAGTAAATGCTTTTGGAATAAGTCAGGGATTGTTTGAAGAAGAGAAAACTTTGGGGCAGATTTTTAAGTTACTGTTATTTATACCGTCAAAGCAATGTTATAAACCCACAGGATAAACCAACAACCAGGAACTGCAAAGTCTTGTGCAGCCCTGATGGCAACATGCTGCTGAAATCCTTGCTGACACAATTACGGTGAAGTTTACTACTTAGGGCAATGAAGGCTACACGGAGCAGGAGGGGGCAGAGACCATGAGCAGCCTGGCTGACATAGAAGTCATCTTTATCTCTTCCACATTAGTCATGATTTTGACTTTTTCTAAGCCCTCTTCCTGCCTTTCTTAACCTTGAAATGATTGCCAGCAGGGTTCAACTGCGGAAATACTTTCTGTGAATACAACTGTGCAACAACCATCTTTATTAAAAATAAAAAAGAAATGTTAATATTTTTACAAGGTTAATATAAACCACATCTCAGCTCTCTGGAAACAATCTGCTGTTTTTCACTAAAGAAAAACACTTATCATCTAGGAAAATATTATGGTCAATTTGAAATAAGGCTTTTAGGTTTTTCCACAAAGTGCAGTATGTTGCCTTGTTGCTGTAGCAGAGGACACTTCAAGGAAGCTTTTATGTGCATTTTGCTGAGGGACTTGTTCATTATGAGCCATCCTCATCAGCAGCAGGATGTACTGGCTAATGTAGTTCCAGCTGCTGCTGCAGGACCTGGGAGGTGTGAGGCTACTTCAGACCAGTGTACACCCTAAAAGCTAAAAGAAGGTAAAGAGCAGCCTGGACACCCTTTGCTTGGGGATTCCCCTTGGAGGGAGGGAGGGGCTGTGTCAGTTGGCCAGCAGGAATTCACTTCTATAAATTTCCAAGGGGTCTGCAGGCTTATGTTCCAATCATTAAGTGGCTCTCTATGGACAGACTACAGGTTCCCAGGTGTGGATCATACACCTATAACAGGAGACATCCATGACTCCAACCCACAGCCTCTCCAGGACCTGCTTTCCCAATACTTTCTTTGTCCAAATTTATCATGGATGTATCTTTTGTATGGCCCACGTGATGTTTTCAATGTGCTTTGTGTGGACAAAAAGGAGCTATATAAATGCAAATTTAATGCATTCATTTATTCTATACTGAAGGCTGTACTGAAGGCCAGGTAAATTACACCCACGGAATCCGCCAGTCATCCACTTCACGAACAATAACTTCCCATAGAATTTGTTAAACATGATTTTCTTTTGTTAGCCCTTGCAGACTATTTTTAATCAAATTACACTTCTCCAGGTGTTTTCCATCTGGCTGGACCCCCTAGCTGCTGAATTCAAGGACCCTGATTCACTACTACCTGCGTCATTTGCCTGACCTTGCCATGAGACCACAGTGGCAGCATAACAAGGTCCGTCCATCTAGCACAGCCCCCATTCCTCACAGCTCATTGCTGAAATCCCCAGGAGCTGAATCCTTGCCCTGAAACTTCAACAATCTGCAACAAGAGCAAGTCCTTCATCACTCTCTCTGGTTTTACCCAGAGTCCCTTCATTATTTCTTTTATTCCCCCTGAAAGTGTAAGGCTGTCCCCAGCATTGCTCTCATTATCCCTCTGTGAACTCTGGAAAAAGAACGTATTTACATTTCCTGACGTGCTTAGTATTCCTGTCATTGCTGTCTTCCTGAGCCTGCCCTGACCTTTGCAATGACATTTTCAACAACTCTATTCCCAACACTTTTTCTTTGCTGCTATTTCCTGTGCTATTTTGGCTCCATTTTTTCCCACTCTATTTTTGTTATTATTTTCTTCTTTGTTCATTTATGCTCTCCTGTATAGATCCCTGGCCATAGTGATGGCCTGGTGGCCCTTTCAGACACCAGCTGCTCCCTGCCACAAGCCTCACTGTGGTCTGTAATGCTGCTGTGTACTGAGTACAGGGAAATTAGGGTTTGCTATGAGTGAGGCTCAGCACATGGAAGGAGGTTTGATTTGTGTAGCCTGGGAGAGCTCAGCTATTCCACTGCTGGGATGTATGTGACACTGGCCTCATGCAGGGACAGGATGTCAAGAGAAAGAGTGAGCTTTCAACTGCTGGCATCACTAACACTGCTGTTTTGGCCTCAGGCTAAACCCAGCTTTGAGATCTAAAGCTGTGTGCACCTGTATCCCCTCAGCTTGTCACTCCTCTGTGCTTCTGTGTCCCAGGACCTGCAGTGCTGCACACCCTTCAGACCCCCAGGGAACCTATGAGGGGAGCCTATGAGATGCAGGAATACAGTTTCCTTTAGGCTATTTGGGAAAAATCATCTGCACTGGTTGTGAACCTCTGGTTTTATTTTGAGGCTCAAACTCTCAAATATTGTCAAGTCCTTTTTGGATTTATCTCTTGAGTCAGAATGTGGTGGAGTCAGATCTTCAATTGCCATAAGGAAGTAAAGTTTCAATGAGGGCAGTGGATTTGCAGTGATTGACATTGGCATAGCTGACAGTGCAAAAGAAGGAAGTTTATTGTATTCCTAAGAATGAAGGATACATCCTCTGGAAAGCAGACAGAAAATCTACCAGTTACTTACCAGGACATCCTTATCACCACAGTTTTTCAGTCATCCCTCTTCCTTTACCAGTGTAACAGAACTGATGTGGTTCAGGATGGCACCTATTCATTATTTTCATTTTCTGTTTTCCCCTTTCTTTCTTTTTCCCTAGCAGTTTTTGTTTAACCAGCAGTGCTGGAGAAAAGTGGTACTCTGGATTTGTTCCCTTAGCAAGTGAGTTCGTCACAGCTCAGAAAGAACAAATGCTACTCTTGCACAGGTCACTCCAAATCCCTGAAAGAGACACCTTTAATCTCTGGAGCACCATGGCGGAGCAGCCCAAGAAAGACAGATGTAGAACAATGCAGTTAACAGCCTCACTACAGCAAAGGGGGCCCCAGCTAAGTACCTTGGCTAAGGCAGCATGAGGGCTACAGTGAGGAAGAGTGAGGAGAGCAGGAACAATGTAATTTCACCTAGGCAAACTGAACAGCAAGGGCTGTTCCATTGCTAAAAGCTAATGTTATGGTGAAACAGTTAAAGGGACAAGCCATTTCTCCCTTGGAACCAAACAAATTGCTTTTGGCTTCTGATGATTTTTGTAGCCTCACAACTTGTTCTCTGTTTTCAGGAATAGATGGAGTGCAGCAATGCTATCAGCAGTTCATACATCTGACTGCTGTTATGGAGGGAAAGGAGTTGAAGGACATAGGGAATTTGCTAAACAGTTCCTTGGAAAAGAGACGTGGAAAACAGAGCAAATAAATCCAACAGAGATAATGCATCCACCTAAGAGTATGGTGCCATCCTGCCCAAGCACTTTGTCTTTAATTATGTGACTGCTTTTTTCTTCAGTGGGAATGCAAATCTCCCTCTGGAGATTCCTTAGTGAGGGAGGTTTTTGCTGGCCATGTCCACACATGGCTGCCACACAGTGATCAGACACTTCACACCAGTGTGGTTTGGTGAGACTCCTTCAGCTTTCCACGCCAGCTCCAGTCTGGCATCACCATTTCCTCCAAAGCTTCCCTTCTCCAGAACTCCCTGTGAAGAAAACATTGAGAAAGTGCCTGTTGACATCTGCTCAAGCAGAGAGGGATGCTTGAGAATGACCAGCAAACAGCCTTGGAACATACTTTGCCCAGGGTGGACTGGCCAAACAGAGGGGTGCTGGCAAAGCATGGAGCAGCTGACAGAGTCAAGTTGTACAGGTCAGTATAGGTCTTGTAACGCAAAAGAGTGAATCTTATTTTTTTCACCTAGATTAGTGCAAGAAAGCAGAAGGAAGCCAACTTCTGTCCTAGAAGCTGCCTCACCAAAAGAAAATATAGTAAAAATTGTTTAAATTCTAGCTGTACCTTAGAAAATAATTGCAACTGTTACTGCTTACCAGTCTTGCTAGAGGTTTGTTGTACCCTTTAACAAAATATTAATTAAGATATCTGTTTTTTCTTTACAAGTGGAGAATAAACTCACCCAGTAGAAAATCTTTTACTTGTTTCTGGCTCATTCTGTTAAGTTTGAGTGCAGGCCTTGTTGTTGCCAGTTGAATTCTGGCAGATGGGTTAAACTTGGAAAGTGAGGTTTCCAGGACTGAGCAGCAGTTGAAGTAGGAGTGTGAATGCCGAGATCAGGAATCAGGCAGTAAATCTTTTGTAAGCTGTCACCCTTAAAGATTGCTTATTTTTTTATGGAGCAGTGAGAGAAGCTGCAAATGTGCTGCTGTTTCCTGGGCACCACACACAGAGCATGTCCTCTGCCCAACTGGCCAAATCCAAGCAGAAGGTGCTATAGGCTTATTAAAGCTTGGTTAGATGAATTAGCAGGGTTTATGGAGCTGTTTTTTCAGCTGCCCTTTCCAGCTGCCTGTTAATCAGCTACGAGAGAGCCCAGCAGCACAACTATGGAAAGCAGACCTGCCTGCTGGGTGTGCTCAGCAATGCATTGATCCACTGTGGTAAGAACATGAGAACCAGGACATGCACTGCCATCCCAAGAAAGACTTGGTGCTGAGAGAGCACCAAGTGTCCTAAAACAGATACATGAAATACTTGCTAATTCTGGGTCATTTAGATAATGTGTGAGTACCACACCGCTGTGGACAAGTGAAAGTATCAGCAGTGAAGCGTAGCAATTTGCGGAGTTGCTCCAATATACCTGTGGGTAAAAGAGGCTGCATCTACTGTGTATTTGTGTCAATACCTCAACAAAACCTTCCCAGGGCTGTGACAAGTGTGGCAGTCGAGCAGTGCCGATGCTGCAATGCTCTCAGATTTCCTGTCCTGTCCTCTTCTGTCCATAACTATGTTTCTTTCCAACTCTGGTTTATGCTTGTCATGAAAATGAAGCAAAAGAACAAGCAGCAGGAATTAGCACTTCCCAATTCTGCAGTCTGGAACAAGAGGGGAGAGGAGATAATTTGGTGGGCCAGGCACTTGTTTTCTTAAGGCATTCTGCTTTTCTCAGAGGAAGCTACAAATGTGCTGCCTGAAATCCAGATATTAGTGTGGGGAGGGATGTTTGTAGTATTTACTCTACAAAGAGCCTCTTTCCTTGGGCTGCCAGGAAAGACTGTCTATTGCCTTTCCCTGGACAAGGGGCTGAAATGCCCATGGTTCAAGAAAGGGCAGATAACAGGCAAGGAATCTGGTCTGGGCTGCCTTCGGTAGCCTGGTGTATATATAGAGTACAGAAAACAAATGTTTGCAGCGCTCAAAGTATAATTTCCAGGCACTGTTCACTTCCCACATATCCCTCTTTGATCTGGTAGTCTTTATCTCTGGCATTACTGTGCTGGGAGTTAGCAACAACTTCAGCTCCCAGAATCTGGTCCTTGTCTCAAGGAATAGCCATGAATTGTGGATGGACTTAGAGCTTTTCAGCTTGACAGTGATCAGAGGGTATATTCTGGCAAGCTATTGTAAGTAACGATTCTGGCCTCCACAGTGGATATTCCATCCATTGCTTCTGCAAGGAGCCTGTTGTAGATAGTAGCTGGTCTGAATTACTGGAACTAAGACATCATCACTGTCTTAATCTGAATAGGCTCAATCTAATAAGTCTAATCTAATAAATTAATTTAAGCAGATAATTAAAAGAAGTAATAAGAAAGCAATAGGAACAGTATATCTAAATCAGGTTTGTGGCTCTGAAATGCTTTTCAAAGTCTGAGTCATGCCCACTGTGGAGATACTAGAGATATTCTAGTTAGCAAGGGAACTCTGTCTGACAGCTTGTCAGGGGGCAGCTACTGAGAAGTCTTTCTGTATTCACCCAGCTGAGACCCGCCTGCCTCTCTCCTCGGTTCTGCTCAAGCTCACACACATCTTCCTGCCCCAGCTGGGAATCGCTCTTCTCCAGGGTATCTGCATCTCCACGGAATCACGTTGTGGCATGCTGTCACCTCTGCATGCCCTCCCTTCCTGACATGAGCTGAGGCTTGAATGCTCCTCAGCATGTGGGCCTCTCAAGGGAAGGGACCTGCATGCAGGGATGCTGAAGTGAAGGAGAAGGAGGAAACACTTTCTTGCACCAGTGTCATTTCAACTTTGAAAACTTCTTCTGAGTCTTAGTCTCTGGGGAATGGAGCCAATTAAACAGCAATCTGGAAAGCCTAGCAAGCATCTCCTTTCAATGGAAGTCCTTCTCTGAGTGACATGAGCTGAGTGGGGGAAGACTAAACAGACAGGAGAAGCAGCAAGTTGTTTCTAACTGAATAACTTCAGCTCTTCATGTTTTGGTGCACTGTCATTGTAATGCAATCAATTTTTCAGAAGCAAATACACTGAAACTACAGAAGACATTGATTTCTACTTTTGCAATCAAATTTGGCAACACCTCTGAACATATTTTTCCCTGATTAGCTAAAGGACACTGTAGAAGAATTCAGAAATATAGTCAGTCTGTATCTTTTTGCTTGGAAAAGATGGGCAGTCACTTGGTTGACACTCTCAGTGGGATATTCCTTAGGAATGCATCGCTTCAATCAACTAACATTCACCCAAGCACTTTCAAACACAGAAAGACCTTGCTGATGAAAATAACTGCTTCTTGCTTGTGTTGCTGAATAAAAAACATTCCTGCAGAGCTGCCTGGGAAGCCAGAAAGGATACTAGAGACTGCTACTGTGATATACAGGTTACCCAGTACAGATCCTTTTATTTCACCTACCAAGCTCTGCACTGAGTCAAGTGTCTGGAACTTTGTAGCTGCCACTATTCATACTCATACTAGTGGAGGGCTAGAGCCTGTTTGCCAAGGTTTGATTTTCAGACCAGTAGAGGCTTAGAATCAATGTCTTCTCTGGTCCCTGTGGTTAAACATGTTAACCTGAATGTGTCTGGAGACCTTGTCAGCTGTAGGCTTTGTTATGTGCTTTATCTCAAATTCCTTCACTACCACCTCATGTTCTTGCCTTCTCTCCCTATCCCTGTGATGAGAGCAGTCACGTTTGTCTGATTGTCCAGCCAGTACCTTCGACTTTCTCAATTGCCAACATCCATTTTCTGACTCCCCAGCCTCTTCAAACTTGCACACTAATTGCGGTCATGCAATAGCAGTTCAGTGCTTCTCTGGGAGATGAGTGATGCACGTGGGCTTACCTCTGCTGATGTATCCTGGTGGTTTGCCCTCTTGCCACATCACCTCTTGCTCATTATGGACATTGTACCACCTGTCATAAATTGTTTTTTCAACTCTACACTCTTTGGAGGTAGCTCTGCTGCCAAACAGGTACACTGTTGGTGATCCAGCCTCAGAGTAAAGCAAAGCTTATTTAATGAGAATAACATCTCACAGCACACTGTTTATTCATGGTGCCTTTTTCCTAATTTCCCTTAATGAAGGAGCTGATATCTCATTGATAACCATTTGCTGAAGAACTCACACTGAAGCTTCACCCTCACATTGGCAAACCTAAAAAAAAAAGTCATTCAAAAATCCTTACAGTCAGCCCATTTCTGGATCAGGGGCTTTATTCTGAATTCAGTTCAAATTCCTCATGGTGCCAGTACAATGAAAGGCACTTGGCTTATTAACATGAAAAGAATCCTCCCTACTTTGGTGTATCTTATTACCCTGGGAAGGGAACTCAGGCAGTCTGCTCCATTATGTTTGATGGCTGATACCAAATTCGTCAGACCAAGTGTAAACTCAGACACATTTAGCAATATTCAGATATTAAAGAAGGGCTGACACTGTGAAATCACTTATTCATATTTGATTTGCTGAGTAGGATGAGGAAAATCACTTTCTCTCCAGTATTTTCCTGTGCCCTGCTCTGGCTGAATCAGATTACTTAAGGCATGGCCCTAGTGCCAGTAGCTATCAGAGACATGAGGTCAGCCACATCAGCTCTCTCAGAATTTAGAGAGGCTGTCAGGTTTATGGTATTATTGATACTCAAAAGACTTGATTGTTGTTTTATTTGAAAGAGAACTTAAAACACATAAAACATTGGCATACACCCACAGGGATGGCAGCACAGTCTTCTTTTTTCAGAAATGTGTCTCTTTTTCAGGAGTCCCTACATGCTGAAGGGAGATACCTTCATTTACCAGGCCAGGTTTGAGGTCTACAATTCTCTTCAAGGAATTTTGTTTCTTCCCCTCTTTATCCTCTGCACATCTGGAGTTTCTGCCTCTCTCTTCATGCATCCCATTGCAAGAAACAGTTTCCTAATACATCTTCACCCACAGCATTCTTGGGAATACAACCATTTACTGAGCCCAGTGGGGGCTGTGTGGTCCAAGTGGAACAAAGCATTCCTCCCCACCCAACCCACCACAGACAGAGAGAGCTGTGGCATGGCCAGCTGCAGTGATTGAGAAGTCACTGCTCTATCTGGACAGGCAGTACAAAGTCACAAATCCAAGAGTGAAAGCTCTTTCTGAGAATAAAACTCACCTCACCTCCAGATGAGTTTTTGTCTTGTTTTCACAATGAATGTTGAGGACAGTGGGTTTAAATGGGTGTTTGAAGGCCATATTGGGTGGACAATGGCACACGGTGTGCTGCTTTCAGGCCTCTGAAAAGGCCTGATTAGCTGCTGGCTAATCAGGCCAGTTCCCTCTGGGAACACACCCATCTACCCAGCAGGACTGCAGCCAAGAGAGAAGCAAGTCAGCTGACATACAGAACATAATTTGAGACCCTCAGCCTAGCTGCTGGCTCATTAATCAAGACAGATTCACAATGTACCTGACTCCTTCTCCCTGCTCCTAGTCTATAATTAGCAACACATGCTTAGGTAGCAGCCCCAGCAAATTGCTTCCTGTCTTTGGTGACAGTAACTCGTATCTGAGAGAAGGATATGACAAAGAGAAAAGGAAAAGGGATAAATGGCTACAATAAGGCAGAAACCATTAGCACTAAGCAACAATAACACTTTGCATCTTAGTACTAGCTTTGTCTTCATTTGTATGAGTCTCTGGTGCCTTGTTGGAATTATGGACAGATGTTTGCAGTAGGAATGCAGGTTTCTTTTACACAATAGCACTAACTTGGAGGTTTAACCCTTTGGAAAAAGCCTGAAAACTGCTGGCCCTGGACCGGGGTGCTAGGCTGCACAGACCAGCTCAAGGCTCTCAGGCAGCGGTCCCATCCTCACCATCTGAAACTGGTGAGTTTTAGTGCTTGACTGTGCTTGCTCTGTGATCCAACAAAATCACACCACCTGCACTCTTGGGGACATATTTCTCCAGATCATCTCCTTTCACTGATTCTGCAGTGAGACACCCTGGCACAAACAGAATCATGTCCTGCCTCAGGGTGCATTGCCCCTCTGAGGTCCAACCATAGCGCCTGCAGCTCTTACGGTGGAGGTGGGACTGAGACTCTGCTTTTGGCCTGTGATCCCGCTGCTACTCATCCTGACCAGGTTCCATCATCCTGAACCTAAGATGTGGCCCACACAAGGAGCTTTGTGGCTCTTCTAGTTAGTGACTGCCCAAGGAATATCTTCCTGCTCTTGGGCAATTTGAAATGAGTTGGTGCTGTACTGTGGTGAAATTGAAACGTTCACAGGTGTGAGAATGCCACTCATTATAATTCATGGGAATTGTCATTAAATCAACACATCCTCAGGTTCTGCAAATCCCTGAATCTGTTGCTGCAAAAAAAAAAGTCAAATCTGTCCAGGCTTTTTGATTGCAAATGAGTATATTGAAAGTGTGCTTCCTTCTCTGAGAAATCAAAGCCTGTTTGATTGAAGCTCATTTTCACACAATCAGCTGCTGCAGCTCACACTTTAGACATTTTCAAATTCTTTTCAGTTTCCTAGAAAAATACATAAATCTCGAAGAAAAGTATTTTTCTTCAAAGTCATCTGTCCAGGCTTTTAGTCTCTTACCTTTTTTGCTGCCAACCGTAGATTAGCAAGATGAAAAAATTGTATATTTCCTCAGATGACAATAATGGGATGACCTTTCTCCTGTTTCTTCTGAATATAAATGCAATAATAAAAAAAGTGATTTGATGTCAAAGAATTAGATTCATGTCCTGATAATATTAAAATACTGTATATTTTTTTTTGTAAGAATAATGCCTAAATGATGCTTCTCGTTTTTCTTATTGCCTTCCAGACACTTCATTTCATAGCAAGAATTCTGAAAGCCTGTCCTTCCTTTTGGCAGCTGAAAAAACTTGTTTTTTATGACTTGTCTCTCTGATGTTTTGCTCTGCAGTCTCTTTAGCCAGAAGGGTGGTTTTGTCTTGCCATGTAATATTGCTTGATGCTCACCTTTCATTCCTAGTTAGAATCTTGTTTGTAATTATTTCAAAAGCTCAAAACTAATTTAAAATGTAGGGAACACTGGAAAGCATAAAGGAGAAATTCAGCCCTTACAAAAGGGAAAGAAAGCAAAAAGAAGGGATGCAATAGAAATATAGTTCTGGTGTCTTTGAAGATGAGGTTGGTACTAAATACATAAAAAGTGTAACAATTGATCCAAAATGTCAGAATAATTTTATCTATAAGCTTTATGCCTGTCAGAAATTTGAAGGGATAATTTTCTGAGATATTACAGGGATGTAGACACACAGTATGTACTTAGAAGAAAGCTTCTGAGAGTCAAATGAAGGAGGGAAAGGGAAAGGGAAAGGGAAAGGGAAAGGGAAAGGGAAAGGGAAAGGGAAAGGGAAAGGGAAAGGAAAAAAGGCGATTTCATTATGAAAATGATGGATTACAAAATGTTTCACCAAGAGTTCCCATAAACTCTAGGAGAGCAGAAGCCAAAAGAGAAGCTGCACAAGAGAGACCTGTCACATTAGTGCCTTGTGACAAAATGTGTGGCATGGAAAGAGAAAGAGAGAAACTAAAGGGTAGAATTAGAGACATTAACATCTGGCCAGAGTTTTCTGTTGGTTCAGGTTAAAATACCCAACAAATGCACATCCTTCAGAGATGAAGAGTGAAATTATGCAAGTTTCTCCTCAAAACCACATTTTCTGCCATTTAGCTCTTTTTATAGGAACCTATTTAATCTATGTACATTTTAATTAAATTCATCTTTTGACTATATAGATCTATATTAATTTATTTCAGCTGATTGGACCACCAGGCTGAGGCACTGTCTCAGTGGTTGGAGGCCTTCTCACACTTCTGGATGTATATAGCTTCAAAGGTGAGCTTCCAGCTCTGAAGATCTACCTCTTTTATGAGCAAAGAGCCCCTGTGCCATGTTTTGCTCTGTACAACAACCCAGTGCTCCCTGTTTCCCTGGCAATTGTGCAGCAGTGAGGCTGGCATTCACAGCTAAGCACACGTTTAAATGCTTGATGGATTTAGGGCTTATTTGGTCTACTCTCAACTGGGCCTTTCTGCTGTCTACTGCTCAAAGTAATGCACATTCACTCAATGCAGTCAAAAATAACCTGAGCAGACATCAGAAAGGGCATAGTGCTAAAGAGCAACCTCTGAAAAGCCCATCTGCAGTGATCTGGTGATATGGACTGGATTTTCCATACAATGGTAAATAATCAGTATTTATTGATTTAATAAAATCAGTAAGTTTAATTACATTGCTGATACCACATCTATTTTTATGCTAGATCATGCTGAAAACAACCTCAATTATTAACAGCTGTAAAAATCCAAAGAGGTGGCAGACACACAGCAATGCTGGTTTCTCTCATCACATTATTCTTGTGGTCTTTTCCACGAATGCCTGGGTGTCTCTTAGGTATTACTTTTTAATCATCTACCCTCATTACATGTAGTGTTTGCTCCTTTTTCATTTTCTAGCACAAGGCCAGAAAGAAGGCAATTAAAATTCAATAATGGTGCAGTGCTTAGACACTCATTAAGTAGTCATTAGGTAGTCTGGAGACTCGTTGTCTTTACAAGGGTTTGCTCTCCATAAATCTCCTCTCTGCAGTATTACTTCAAAACAGCAAGCACAACATGAATGTGAATCTAGAGGGTCTCGAGTCTCCTGGCCCACCTGGGATGCAGCAAACCCTGGGGGCTCCTCCAGCAGCACCAGGGAGATGCTCAGGCCTGGTGCTGCTCTGGCTGCCTCCAGTCCCACTGTGCTATCTGGAAGTGATTCCTGCCATCCTCAGGCAACAGAAGAATCATTTAAAAAGCCTTGCTTACACTTGTTGGAATACCACCCCCTTCCAGAAAAACAGTCCCCGGTTGCCAAGACAGTTTGTAGAAGGGCACACATGAGTAACTGGAAAAATTAGGCCTCCAGGGAGTCAGGAGCATTCGCTGTCAGCCTCAGGAGCCAAGCTCCTGACAAAAGAGCATTCAAAACAAGCAGGCTTCGTTTTGAGGTGGGGAAAAAAATACAACTCACTGGCAGAAACAGGATGGCAAAAGTACGCCACTGACTGTCAGATGCCTAAAGGCATCAATAAAATAATGCTCACACTCAAAAACTGTCTTACAAAACAAGAGAAGCAGCCTCTCTTCATTTAAAGGATTGCCTCTGGACATTAAATAACAGCATCTGTTCTACACACACTTAGCACCTTGAGTTTGCTTTGCTTTCAGTCCTTGAGGATTTGGGGAGGAAAGAGGACAAGAGAAGACAACTGAGACAGTTTAAGCTAGGAAGATTCCATGACAGTTCTATGGAGCATTTCCCCAGAACTCACTGAAAGCAGAGGGAGAAAACTCCAATGCATTACTTAAGACTGCTCTCACACTGCTGACCCTTTATAGATGCAGATCAATAGAGCAGCCTTTGCCAGAAAGAAAGTTCCACATGAAAAAAACTGAAATAGAACTCATATTAGAGATGCTGAGAGGAAATAACACAGCCCAAGGGAATATCTTCATGTCATGGTACAATAACAGGGTCCCTGAGGGATCAGCAGATGGCAATGGAGAGAGGAGAGCAATTCACAGACTCCCAGCTTCTTCATAGCACTCGGTCACCTCTAGGGCACACAGCTCTGGGACAGACAGTCCATCACACACACACTTCCATGCACAGTCACAGAGTGGTATTTCATGAAATACTGGTTTTCTGTATTAAAGCCCATTTCACAACACTGCATCCTCCTTTCTGTCGTGCCTTACCCTGGTACCCACAAGCCATGGCTGACTGCCTGACACAGCGTCAGGTGAGGATCAGGAGAAGTGCTCACCTTGGTTGGCTTCCTGTTGCACTTTGCTGTACAAGCTCAGGTTACTTCTCTGAACCATCTTCCACTCATATTCCTGCTGGAAAATTCAGCTGGGAGGCCTGGGAGGTTGGGATTGCCTTGGAGCTTCTTTGTACAGTGCATGGTACAGTACTTGCTCAAAACATTCAAGTTTTTTTCTACTCAAGGTGCCTTCAACTGTGTATTTACCTGCTCGTAAGAATTTTTTGGAGCAGCTGGCAGATATTTCGTTTTCCAAGACAGAAAACATATTCTTGATATATTTCCATTTGTATACATAAGGATACATTTCCATATGTATAGAAATATGTTTGTGTATGCCTGCATAGACGTAAAGGGAGATAACGGACGGATAGACAGTTCATGAGTA